CAGGCTTGACAGCAAGCACCTTTACCTGCTGAGTCACCTTGTTAGCCCCCAATATTTCTTCTATATAGGGATATTTTTAAATAAGAAAGTTTAAAAAGCAATAAACCATGCTTAAAGCCTAAGAATTTGTGATCTTGAGCATGACCTTGTTCTCTGTATTAGTTACATTTCTGTTGCTATGATAAAACACCATGACCAAGGGAATTTATAGAAGGAAGAGTTTATTTGACAGTTCTCGAAGGATCAGAGTCTGTCATAGCAGGGGACCTGGCGGCAGGAGGTGGCTGGGACCTAAAGAGGAGCACTCATATTTTCAAGCAGGCATAGGAAGAAGAGAGTGACTGGCAATCTAGCAAGGCTTAAGAACTCTCAAAGCCTGCACCCAGTGAAATGTTTCCTCCAGCATGGCCACACCTCCTAAAGCCTCCAAAACAGCACCACCAACTGAGGACAAAACGTGTGGGGGACGTTCTCATTCAAACCAACACACTCCTCACAAACAAGGCTATTTACTTTGGTTTACAATGAAGATAGGCTCCCTGTGACCTGAAGTATCATCTATCTATTGTAATCCTGGCCAATGCACCTCAGGTGTGTGATCTCATTTAAATCCTTTTGAAGATAACAACTTCAGAACCTACCAACATCTATATATGGCTATTGTAAAGACAATGAAGAGGGACTCTGCTTTGAGAAGCCCACACCCACACTTATGGGGCCTGAGCACCTATCTTCCCACTAATATCTGTGTATAAATCAATCTCTTGGGGCCAGGAGATGGCCCAGAGGGCCATGACCTGAATTCAGTCCCCAGAACTGAGTCCACAAAGCTGTCCTCTGACCTCCACATTCATGCACCTGCACTCACACATCATATACACACACAGTAGTAATACTAAATACAATTTTTTTGAAATTTCTTTTTGGGGGCTAGAGAGATGGCTCAGTGGTTAAGGAACTTACTACTCTTGCAGAGAAGCTGGGATTGGTCCAGCATCCACATGGAAGCTCACAATTGTCTGTAATTGCAGTTCTAGGGGGATCTGATGCCTTCTTCAGGCCTCCTCTGGCATTGCATGCATGTGGTGCACTGACATACAAGCAGGCCAAACACTCATAAAATAAAAATAAATGCATATTTTTACAAATTTTTATTTTTAATAAAATCCAACTTTACTTCATACTGTCTTTTCCTGAAATTCTTTTCTATAGCATGGTCAAGGGTCTGACTTTACCTGGGTGGAGGGCTCTAAAGGAAAAGTGAACTCCTCAGGCTGGTGGCAGTGCTGAGCTCTCTCTTTCTATTTGGTTTTTTTTGAGACAGGGTCACCCTGTCATCCTAGCTGGCCTGGAACTCATTTTGTAGATCAGGCTGACCTTGAACTCACAGAGATCAGCCTGCCTCTGCTTCCTGAGTGCTGGGATTGAAGGTGTGTGTCACCATGCCCAGCCTGACTATCTCTTTCTGTATCACTGTGGCCAGTTAAAATCGACTTAACATGCCGGGCATGGTGGCACACGCCTTTAATCTCAACACTTGAGAGGTAGAGGCAGGCAGATCTCTGTGAGTTCGAGGCCATCCTGGTCTACATAGCAATCTCCAGGCCACTGGGGCTACAGGGAGACCCTGTCTCAAATGACAAAAAAAAAAAAAAAAAAAAAAAAACCACCT